CTCGGATGGCCCAATCCCAAATAATCCTTGAAACCGAAAGAAAGGGAGAGAGGTATCCATGAGACAGATGTGGCCACAGGATATGGTTCATGTTCTCAGATCTCAGAAAGACCCATAGACATGATGGCAGGGAATGGCAGTTTCTCAAGAACATCGTTAAGGAGTCAGTCAGTGCCAAGGATGAGATGGGGCTTGGGGAAAACGGAGGGGACAGTCCGGTCACGGCTCAGGTCTGCTCTGAGCGAGAGCACGAACACAGAAGAGGGCAGGCCTGAATACATTCACTCTGACAATGTAAGAACTGACCCACGGTCACTCTGCTTGTCGTCTTGTCCAAAATGACTGAAGCCCGTCTGGGTGAGGCCAACAAGGGGGAGGATGCCCGACCTCAGACATGAGACGGCACCGCGGCACTTTCCAGTCCTCTCCTGGAGGAGTGACCCACCAGGACAGAGGGCAACCTGCAGCTGAAAAGGACCCGAATGATGCAAGAACTCAGGAATTCCCCAAGAGCTGGAGCTGTCAGTGACATCGGGTATTGCCCACTGCCCACCTCTGCCGGTTCCATTTCCTGGAGTCTGCGTCTTTATCTATATGATCATCACTGTTCCAGCCCCAGCCCACCCCAGTGCAGCTAGCTCTGTAGGGAGGTGTCCTCTGCTGCTGGGACTGGAAGGAAGTGCTGTGTTCTGAGTGGTATCCTGGGAGACAGAGTTTGATACATGTATTGTGCAACCTGTGTGCATGACACAAATAAGACGTGTCAGTTCCTGAGGTACACAGGATGCTGCCAACTTTGGGGTACAGACTACAGGGCTGGGAGGAGACAGGGCAGAGCTGTAGAGGCTACTATGTCATGGCCATTGCCCCATGGCCCCAATATCCCCTTGGAGTGGAAAGCATAACGCTCATGCACTCTGGAAGCTGGAAACTGGGGAAGCAGACTCACAATTCCTGATCCCCATCTCAAGCCCCAACAACAGATGGCTCACCTCAGACATGGCTCTGTCACTGGCTTCCATCCCCCATTCAGCTTCCAATCACACCCACCAACTGAGGGCATCTCGTGTTCTATCAGGAGAGCCCACTGAGCTAGCAGACCCACAGGTCCTGCTGACCCCAGTATAAAGACTCTGAGGGAGGGGGAAGGTCCACCAACGAGGCTGGGGACCAGCGGTTCCTTTGCAGAGCGGATGCTGTGGAGGCAGATGGAGGAGTCCACCAGGCTCCCTAGACTGGCCTCTAGGGTATCAGCAGAACCAGACACCCAAGTTCATGAAGTTCAGAGCTGAGACCAGACACTGCTTCCCAAAGTCACAGGACATCGATGCATTGAACATGTGGCTTTTAGATTCCTGTGAAACACACAACTTATCAAAGGTGGGATTCTTATAGCCACAAGATATCAAGGCACTAGCAGCCAAACTAAGAATCAAAAGGCTGCTTGGGGAGCAAGTCCGCTGACTGTCTTTGCCCCACACACAGTCCACTCCCCTGCCTGCACATCAGGGGTTCTCTCCCATGGACAGTGTGGACCAAGCACAGCCCCTGGCACACAGTAGGAATGTGTTTATGTAAAATTCCTGCTCACCTACTCAGGCAGCAAACCTCCATGCCTGAGTTGGCACACCAGGCATTGTGGTAGGCCCAGTTGTTTTGTTGTTGTTGTTGTTGTTGTTGTTGTTGTTTTAAAGATTTTATTGGGGAATTGGGGGATGGGAACAGCGTTGGGGAATCAGGGAAGGGGAACAGACAAGTTGCTGTCCATTTGTTCTTCAGTCTAGTTGTGGAGGACATCGCTTCACTGGCTCATGTTGGTATTGCGACCACTGTGCTCTTCCCGGGTGAGTCAGATTGCTCGCCGGCCCTTGGACAGCCACTCACGGCAGCTCACGCTGGCCTCTCACACTGGCTGCTGGCCACTCCTGGTAGCTTATGGCAGCCCACTGCAGCCTCACTGCAGCCTACGCCATCGCCTGCGACTCATGGCAACCCAGCTCCAGGTTGAGCTATTGTTCACCATCTTAGCTGTAGAGGGCGCAGCATCACTGGCCCTCATGTGGGATCCGAACCGGGGCCCTGCTGCTCAGAGCTGGCGTCCCAAGCCAACTCTTAACCAACAAGCCACTCGGCCAGCCCAGGAAGGCCCAGTTTTAAAAGCGTCCACAGCCTCTTAAGGATGATTGACCAAGGTTTCAACTCAGTGCTGTAATAAGTGTGATAATACAGATGTGCCAAAGGGATAGGGGAGGCCCCATCCCTAGACTCTGGACACCAGTTATGACCCAGCCACTCTTCATTCTAAAATGTGAGGGTGGCCCTGGGGCAGGCACTCTGCTGGTCTCTGACTTAGACAAAGTCTGGTCATTTCTATACATTAACAACAAAATATCTGAAAGAGGAATAAAGAAGACAATCCCATTTACAGTAGCATCAAAAACAATAAAATGCTTAGGAATAAATTTAACCAAGGAGGTGAAAGATTTGTACATTGAAAACTATATGATATTAAAGAAAGACATTGAAGACAAAAATACATGGAAAGATAGTGCGCATGGCTTGGAAGAATTAATATTGTCCATTCCACCCAACGCAATGCACAGACTCAATGCAGCCCCTATCAAAATCCCAATGGCATATTTCACAGAAATAGAAAAAACAATCTTAAAATTTGTATGGAACCACAGAAGACCTCAAATAACAACAATAATCTTGAGAAAAAAGAACAAAGCTCAAGGCATCACACTTTCTGACTTCAAACTGAACTACAAACCCATAATAATCAAGACAATATGGTATTAGCATAAAAATAGATACACACACACACAAAAAAAAAAAACAGAATTGAGGGTCCAGAAATAAACCCTAGTAAATTAATATTTGACCAGGGAGCCAAGAACACTCAATGGGGAAAAGGTAGCCTTTTCAATACATGGTGTTGGGAAAACTAGATATTTACATGCAAAGGAATGAAACTGGACCCCTATCTTGTACCACTCCCCAGAATTAATTCAAAATGGATTAAAGATTCAAACTGAAAGTTTAAGGTTGTCTGAAAGGCAACCTATGGAATGAGAGAAGATATTTGCAAGTCATATTTCAGATAAGGGATTAATATCCAAAAAATATAAGGAACTCATATAACTCAATAGAAAAAAATCCTATTAAAAAATGGACAGAGGACCTCAATAGACATTTCCTAAAGAAGACAAATGGCCAACAGGCACATGAAAGGATGCTCAAAATACTAATCATCATGGAAGTGCAAATCAAAACCATAGTGAGCTGTCACCTCACACCTGTCAGAATGGACATCATCAAAAAGGTAAGATATACCCCCTCTTGCTTTGAGAGTTGTTACTTTCTGCTTTAATAAACTGTCCTTTTCTGTAAACCTTAATAAATAAATTTTTTAAAAAGATAAAAGATAACAAGTGTTGACAAGCGTGGAGAAAAGGAAACCCTCCTGCACTGTTGGTGGGAATGTAAATTGGTGCAGCCACTGTGGAAATCAGTATGGAGCCTCCTCAAAAAATTAAAGACAGAACTACTGTATGACCCAGCAAGTACACCTCTGGGTATTTATCTAAAGGATATGAAATCACTATCTTAAAGAGATATCTGTACCCTCGTGTTCACTGCAGCATTATTGACAATAACCAAGACATGGAAACAAACTAAGTGTCCATGGACAGACGAAGGATAAAGAAGATGTGAGATACACACATACACACACAAAGGGATATTAACCAGCTAGAAAAAAGAAGGAAATCCTGCCGTTTGTGACAACATGGATGGACCTAGAGGGCATTATGCTAAATGAAACAAGTCAGACAGAGAAAAACAGATGCTGTATGATTTCACTTACATGTGAAATCTTTTTTTTAAAAAAGCCAAACTCATCATAGAGAGAAAAGAATGGTGGTTGCCAAGAGCTAGAGGGTGGGGGAAATGGGGAGATGTTGGTCAAAGGTACAAACTTCCAGCTATGAGATGAGTAAGTTCTGGGGATCTAAGGTACAGCATGGTGACTATGGTTAACAATACTGCATTGTGAACTTGGAAGTTGCTAACAGAGTAGATCTTAAATGTTCTCATCACAAATATACATGTAATTATGTGAGGTGATGGATCTGTAACTAACCTATTGTGATAATCTTTTTGCAGTAGACACATGCATCAAATCATCTGTACACCTTAAACTTATGCCACGTTGTATGTGGATTATATCTCAGTAAAGCTGGAAAAAAATAACTCGTGGAGTTTCCAAGGGATATAGTCTCAGCTGCATAGTCTTATAAAAGCAACATTCCACTTTTCAGGGTTAACAGAAAAATTCTTAGGCAGAAAACACCTCTGCATTTTAAAAAGGGGATTGTGATCATGGAAGCCAGCTTTTCAGTCTTTTCAAATATGTTCTCCATAAAGGCTGGTTCATCAAACATTGGTAAGAATCCATGTGCAACCCATCACCTGGCCTGAAAAGGTTGACAGCTTTTCCTCAAGACCCCTGGGCCCATCATGAGCCTGTCCCTGCACAGCTGTATCTTCTGGGCACATTCTACGAGGCTGCGTGTGTCCCCAGGGGCTCCGGTAACTGATCCTGAGCTCCAAGGTAGAGCATGGCACCGTCATCCATCTCCATGTAGGAAGGTCCCTCCAAGCCCAAGTGCAAGGAGTGAGTGAGGGGGCTTGAGTGTACACTTGTATGCACCCCCTTTGTCCCAGAGGCCCTAAATCAAACATCCTCTAACCTAGGAAAACCCTGTGCTAATCCTGACATCATCTGCATGACAGTTGTAGAAGACAGCACGTATCTGCATGATGACACATCCATGATGGGTCTCGGTTTGCTGCCACTTGCCCTTCCATGGACTAGAAAATTCGTTCCGTTTACCTTCTCCCAAAAGTTGCCATCCATCCTCTTTTTTTTAACATGGTTGTGAAATTGGCTAACGGAAGGGGAAATTTCTCAGCTCCCACTTCTGCTTTTGAAGGCCATAAAACAGCAAGAGTGAACGGGCAGACAGCACAGCTCCACCGAACAACAGGCCGCTCCGGACTCGGCTCCACTGTCAGGTAAGACTTGAACCGACCCCTCTTTCCGATCAGGTCCGAAGGGCGGCTGCCCCTCTCCTCTCCCTTACTCTCTCTCTGCCTGAGGGCTGGGCTTTTTACAAATGCTGGCTGTACTCTTATGCTAGGACTGGGGGAATATTCTGGAAACAAATACTGCTTATCTAGCACCTGACACCTGAGGGGTCAGTGTCAATGCCTCTGCTCCAGCTCTCCTAACAAAAACACCCCTGGTTTGGGTTTGTTTTAGCACATGTTCTCTTGACCCAAAGGTGGGCTCTTGCATATATTCACTCATCCACCCCCAGACTTTCCAGGCGTGCCAACCACATACTGGGTGCTGAGGGAAGTCACCCACAAAAGCAGCCCTGTGGGGCCTGGTGTGGCAGTGCTCATTCATTCCTTCCTCTTCACACAGCTTTCTCCAGCGGCCATGGCAGCAGTACCTGAACTCGCCAGTGAGATGATGGCTTACTACAGGTCAGTGGGGAGAGTGGGGCTCCTCTTTCAAGAGTGGGGTGCTATCTGTGCTTGGAGGCCAGCTCTGTCCCCCCCAGCTGCCTCTTTCAGTGGCAAGCAGGGTTCCAAGTTAACCTGCTTTGAAGGCTGGTTTCCTGCCAACTCCAAGTCCAGGCTTAGGACCCACCAGGGCTTCCTGCAGACAACAAGCAGAAAGAGAAGATGGCACATAGGCGATACAGGGGACCCCCTTGGCAAAGTGTGGCCTCAGCAGAAGAGAAGGCTCAGGTTTTAGCTGGGAAGGATGTTAGGTCCCAGGGTACCACAAGGGCGCCAGGCCCGCCCTGCCTCTGGTATTGTCCCATGTGTGTCAGCATGTAACCTGACAGCTTTAGGGGCATGCTGTCTGCAGGCTGTGCAGGGAGGAAAAATAACTTATCTGGGATGCATAACTGAGCAGGGTCTATTTCTATTACAGTGGCAACGAGAATGACCTGTTCTTTGAGGCTGATGGCCCCAGACAGACCAAGGTGAGACCATGAGCTTAGCGCCCAACCTAAGGAAGGTTCTGCCATGGAAAGGCTCGAGGAAAAGGGTATGGGCCACCTTGACTGTGGTATTTTGTGATGGAATGACTCTCACCTCCTCCCGTGAGACAGATGCAGGCTATGCTACATACTGACCTGGCCACTGTGTGGTTCCCATGTCACCAGTCACTCACTAAGGTTTGGTGCTGGCAGCCATGCTTGCAGAGGGCGAGGAGGTGACAGTGGTGATAACATTTGCTGTTTCACGTAGGAAGACAGCCAAGGCTTCAATGCAAATTTGATTGTCCTTTTAGGAGAGGGGCTCAGCCTCCATGACTCATTGAAGTGAAGCTCCAAGACCTTGAGGGTTAACATGCCTGCCCCCTTTAAGGTAGAATCATCTTTTGCTCCCTGGGGTGGAGCTTATGACAAGACATAGATGAACTGGAAACTGAAAGAAAATCATTCAGTTACTGTTTGACCTTGGACAAGTCAGTCACCACTGTGGGCTTCATCGGAAATGTTTTAAAACCAGCGTGACTGCTTTATGCAGCCCTGGGTGGGGCAGCTACTGGCGCTCTGTCACGTGGAGCCTGTGATCTGGGCAGGAACCGATGTCACATTCTGTGTTACTCCGTTCTGTTCAAGGTCTCCTTACCTGTCCCTCCAGCTTTGAAGCCATTATTACACTTCAGGACAACTGCAGGGAGGTCTTTGTACAGTTACACAGGTTCCCTGAATAACAAGCAGCAAGCATTTATCGTACTTGCAAAATGCTCATGAAATAGCATTCTAAGAAAAAAGAACTTGTGTAGAATAATTAAAAACTTGTTGAATGAGCATAGATGTAGTGAAAATCTGATTATCACTGTCATGAAAAATGAAATACATAGTGTTAGAGCATTAAGGATACAAAAGGTATAAAGTGTAAGAAGGTACAAGTCTACAGTTAGGCAGAGCAGGTGTCAAAAGATAAACAATGTCTGAATGGGATTTATTCTAAAATAGCATACAGGGCACCAAAAGGCTCCCATCCTGGCCTGGGTCTGCCTCTAGCTGCCACGTGCCCTGGGGTAAGCCACTTAGCCTCACTGGGCTTTGCAGACATGAGATCATCATCGTTAGGCACTCATTATCACGAAGACCCCTTCCACCAGTGATGTCCCAGCAGGCATTCTCTGGCCTGACCACCTTAACAGCTCATTTCCTTGGTGTCTCCACAGTGCTCCTTCCAAGACCTGGACCTCAGCTCTCTGGGCGATGGGGCCATCCAGCTGCAAGTCTCCCAGCAGCTCCACAACGCAAGTTTCAGGAAGATTGTATCGGTCGTAGTGGCCATGGAGAAGCTGAGGAAGGTGCCCATTGTCTTCTCCCAGGACTTCCAGGATGACGACTTGAGGAGCCTCTTTTTCCTCATCTTTGAAGAAGGTACTTAATCAGAGCTGAGTGCAGACAGGAGGTCTCTGCTCATTTCCTTCTCAGAGTCCATAACTCAGCAGACAACTAAACTCCCCAAAGGTCAAACCATTGTGAACTTAAAGGGGTGACATAGTGGCCCCAACAAGCTCAGGGGGTCACATGGCAAGCCTGGCAGCCTCAGGGACTGAGTGACCACCCAGGATGTCTGATCACAAATTCCTAACATGGCGGGCTGTCACCACGCAGGTGTACAACTTCCTTAGCAAGCATCACTCTGCCTTAAGCGAGCCCTGTCCATTGTTCTTACACATCTAGGATGACACACCTTTGAAACGTCAGAGTAAGCTTTTCCTACTGGAATGCACAACTGCTGGCATCAGGACACAAGACCACATACCCCCTCATTGTTATCTTGTTGCCAGCATACCTTATCTGCTGTAAATGTTGTGTTAACTGTCCTATACCCGCCCATGTAAAAGAAGTCTGTTTCACCACTTTGTTTTCTATCCAATCCTAAGCATTTCCAGGCTTTGCTTTCTCCCACCTCCCTCATCTACCTCCAGTGATTTCATGGACCTTCCTTACAGGCTTTCTTTTTATTCTAATGCATAAGAGGAACTGGAGAACTGCCACTCTCCAGGACATTTTCTCAAATCCATTGGACTTGCTTCTGATCATGTCCTCAAAATCTTGGCCCAGATAAATTCCTGTAAAATTTTTCTATAGGTTTGGATGTTTTTTTGTCAACACCTTTAAAAAGTAGAAGACCCAGTGATGAGAGAAAAACAGGGAAGCCGAGAACCCAAATTAATCATCTCTTTAGTTGAAACTACTCTCGGAATAAGACCTTGATGACTGCTCACACTTGCAAGTCACTCTGTCATCCTCAGAGTGCTTTCTCTTACCCTCTCTCCTGTGCATCTCATATCTCTGTTGGGCCAGCGTTTTATGTCTGTCACTCTGTCCCTTGTCCATAGCAAGCAGCAGCACTGAAGCCTGAGCCCATGTCTTGTGGCGCCAAGTGCATTATCCTCACCTGTTTCACGTGCCTTTCCACCATGCTACAACTGACCTCGAGCTGTGCATGGCCTGCAAGAGCCTGGGTCCTGCTGCCTCCCATGCTCAGGTCTCTAAGCAATGCATGTGCTCCACATTTCAGAAACCATCAGCTGCTTGTGGGATGACACTTACGTGTGTGATGCGCCCCTGCAGTCGCTGAACTGCAGACTCCAGGACGTAAACCATAAAGCGCTGGTGCTTTCCGGGCCACATGAGCTACAGGCTGTTCACCTCAATGGACAGGATGTGAGCCAGCAAGGTAAGCGAGGAACCTTCATGCCTCTCCTGGCTTCTGGCAACTTGCTATTCTCCACATCGTCAACGAAGTAGATCAAGGCAAACTATCACTGTCAGTGAAAAAAGTTGGATGCAGAACATATAAACTTTGGGTCCCAGCAGTGACACCAGATTAGCTTAGCTCATTCTTTTCCCAGCAACAGGCATGACTGAGAAATTAGAGGCTCAAGCACAGCCAGGACCACTGTCCAGCCAGGTCATTCAAAGATGTGCAATGTCAGCTCTCTGTTAGAAAGTGGTCATTTGATGGACGTGACCTAACTGCCTGCGGGTTCTTCTTCCTGTGGTTGAGGTTGAAAGTAGAATGGTGAAGAGATAACATGTCCACCCTCGTTCCCAGCCCTGCCCCAGTGCCTCTAACATCCTTCCTGCTGGACACCAGTGGGTTCCTTGTAGGGACATCTCACTGACAAGCAGGAACTTTTGTCTCTGCTATAACTGGCAAATCTCCCAAGTATGGGAGCCCATCAGTAATGGGATCTTCCTGGCACCCTGCTGCTGTGACTGAGCCCTGTGTGCAGGGGTGCAGCCAGGGGAGTGTGGAAAGGAGCAGCCTGCTCCTCCCAGGACTGACCTCGGAGAGAAGTGTCACTGTGGGAAGTGTCCTGCTCTCAGCTAGGCCAGAACAATCCTGTTTCTTTAGAGCTGGTCGTGACCATGACCTTGGGGCTTCCAAGTGAGACAGTGTGACTAAGGAAGATTCAAATGAGTATCTATCTTTGGAGCCACTTTTCCCAGCTAAGTTTCTCCTCGCCCCAGTTCTCCCCACTTGCTGCTCTGTGTTCCTGAAATAGATTTGTGCCTGATTTCTTTAGGGAGCCCAGCTTTACCTCTTTCCTTGCTTTCACATTGATCAAATTGTTCTGCTCTTGGGGATGTGCCCATCATTGGCCAGTGTCAAGATGGCCTCCTTTTCTTTCTTTCTTTCTTTCTTTCTTTCTTTCTTTCTTTCTTTCTTTCTTTCTTTCTTTCTTTCCTTCCTTCCTTCTTTCTTTCTTTCCTTCCATTTTTAAAAATGAGACCCCCTAATTCTTCACTGCCATGGTGGTGAGGCTCTGTGAAGCCCTCAGACCTTCTGGGAAAAACCTAAGTCAACCAACTGACCCTGCTGGTATCTGTGAGAAGTTGTAGGTGGGTTCCCACAGAGGGTGCTAAACAGTACACGTCCTGGGCTTGGGGTCCAGTGGTAGGGCCAGCCCTGCACTCCTGTGTGTCCCTGACCACCCAGCCCCTCCCCTTTCTCCAGTGGTGTTCTGCATGAGCTTTATGCCAGGAGAAGAAAATAACAAGACACCTGTGGCCTTGGGCATCAAGGAAAAGAACCTGTACCTGTCTTGTGTGATGAAGGATGACAAACCCACCCTACAGCTGGAGGTAAGTGAGTGCCAGTGGCTGAAGGCCCCCCTGAGGCTCCTCTAAAGCAACCCTAGCCACCACTGAACTTTCTTAGACAACCACCATTCCCTGCAGAAAACCTGACAATTTTGCAGACTTGTAAATAAACTTAATGTAATTGTTAAATGCATGCAGCTTTCACTCCCACCACAGAAAATTAAATTATTTTGCTGATGTTACTGTGTCCTGCTGTTGCTACCACCCAACTGATTACAGTGTTAGGGTTGCTCCATTTGATCAATGGCACTTTGGAAAATTAATCAATTCAAGAGACCTGTCACCTGTCGTCATCTCCAGTCCCTAAATCACCCTCCCTCCCAACCCTAGCTCCCAGCCAAAGCTTCATTTCTAAATTGAAGTCATTCTACCCAGGGGCATTAAAAACAAACAAACAAACAAAAACAAAAACAAAAGAACAGCGGAAGTCCTTGGGAACTAGGTACTCTTGGAAGCTTTAACCTCATTTCACTTTTTTTTTTATTAGTTTCAGGTGTACAAAACATGTAATAGTTAGACATTTACACCCTCACAAAGTGATACCCTCCTCCCCCAATCTACCACTCTTCTGTCATTTTCACTTTTTGAAAACTTCCCACCTACCATCGCATACTCAGTTTCAGAAAAGGATAAGGGCTCCTTCACACACAGCAAGTTGGGATCACAAGGAACTCCAGAGCCTAGCTCCTGGTCCTGAGAGTGGCTCTTCAGCTTCCCCTCGAGCTGGCCCAGAGAACGTGGTCACCAGAGTGCCTTAGTCCCTTCTCTCACAACAATTCTTATTTCTATTTTGCCACAGACAGTAGACTCCAAAGGTCTGTCTAAGAAGATGGAAAAACGGTTTGTCTTCAACAAGACGGAAATCAACAGTAAGGTGGAATTTGAGTCAGCCCTATACCCCAACTGGTACATCAGCACCTTGCAAGAGGAACAGAGGCCCGTCTTCCTAGGAAATCAAAAAGGTGGAAAGGACATAACTGACTTCACCCTGGACATCCTCTCTCGCTAGAGACCTATACCTAGAGTGCCCACATGTGCTAAGTAACAGGCTGCAGAAGGAACAGAGGGTTTGGACGTGGTGCCGGCTGCATGTCACTGAGGCTAGGTCAACACCCGGCTGCCTTCCCTACACTGATGCTCAGGACGCCACCAGCCAGAAGGAGCGCCCATCCTGCAGGGCCGGTCCTTAGAGCCCTGGCCAAGGCGGGCGCCTTTCGCCTGCCTACTCACACAAGGCCAGCCTGGCAGGAGCCACCGCACATTTGGCCCAAAGAAACCCTGTGTCTTCTGCACCCAGCCCCTGATGAGCAAGCACTTAACTATCTATTTATTTATTTATTGGTGGGTTCCTCTATTTAATTTAGAAGCAACGGTATCTATGAAAGAAAGAGCCCAGTTTTCAGCACCCAAGGAACCAATTTAATTTGGACAAATGTGCTGGCTTTATATGAAGTCCTTTTACCAGGCTGAAAACAAATAAGCTCAGATTATTTTAACAGGAATATTTGTAAATGAGGAAGTATAATCATACTGATTCAATGATTTTGAAATAAATTTCACTGAAAAAAAGTTTGTCTCTGTGTGGTGACTAGCTTCCCTTGGATGTGACACAGAAGAGTGGAGGTAAACAGGCTGGGACCTGGGGCTGCGGGGGGCAGCCCACTTCGCACTGAGTGTCACCGGGCACCTGGAAACACCCCTGGCCAGCATAGTCGCCTCCCCCTCCTTCCCCTTCATTTCTGTTTCTCAACAGACAGATATTCAGCGCACAAGGTTCACCTGAAAACAGGACCAGCTGGAGCACTGTAGGGGCTGAGTTGTGGAAGTGGCTGTCAATGATTTCTCTGCGCATTTACTTGGCAGAATTTACTTAGCAAATGCTCTGTACTAGACACACTAGGGTTGGTGAGTGCATAAGCGAAACGAAGGCAGCATGACAAGTAGAGGTCACATATGGTAGGAAAGGAGTGACCAGGAGAAGTGACATCTGCTGTGAAGGACTGAGGGTCATGGAGGGTGATTTATGAGTCAGGCCTAGAAGGATGAGCAGCAGTCCCTCATGGAGAAAAGGAAGAAAAAGGCACTTCAGGTGGAGGGACCCGTGTGAACAAAGGCAGGGGGTATGAGAAGAAATGATGCCAACAGAGAACCTTCAGGGTTGCACAAATCACCAGAAGCAAAGTGAAAACACAAAAACAACTCTGGAGAAAAACTGTATCTCGTATCTCACACAAAGGGAGAATTTGCTTACTATGTAAAGAGTTCCCTCAAAACACTAGGAAAATAACAAGAACAAATATTTAACAAAACAATAGGCAGAATCCAACAAAAATAAATTAAGAGGCTGCCCCCCAAAAAGGACATACTATTAGATCTTGGACAGAGTAAAAGATACTCAACATTACTTATAAGAAAGGTGAATTAATAGCCCCTTTGAGATACTGAAGTTCTATCAGATTACAAACATCAAAATTTTAACAGCACAGACCATTGACAAGACTGAGGGAGGACCTCCACTCCAATATTATGGGTAGTACAACTCCTATAGAGGAAATTTTGATAACTATGAAAATTACAAATGCATATCCCCTTTGGCCCAGGAATTTCACTTCTGGGGATTTATCCTACAGACAGACACATACCCTTGTGAAATTACATGCTCAAAATTCATCATTGCACATCACTTGTAATAGCAAAAGATTGTAAACAGCCTAATGTCTGTCAACAGGAAACTGGCTAAGTGAATTATGGGACATTTCTACAGTGGAATGCTATGCAGCTACGAAAAAGAACAAGAAAGCATTCTGCACCAATACAGAATCCTCTCCAAGACACGCTGACAACTGAAAAAGAGGCAGAGGCAGACAGTACTAACTTTTATGTAACCAAGGGAAGGAGAAAAAATTAAGCAATACTTTCCAATGTGCTTTTATTTGATTTGAAAAATTCTGGAAGACACATAGGAAATTTAAAAAGTAGCTGTGAGGGGCTGGGGAATAAGATATGTGGGGACAAAGGTGAAAGCAAGACATTTCTACAGATACTTTTTGTATAGTTCTATTTTTCAATCACGTGACTAAATTACTGACTCAGAAATAATTTTTAGAAAGCATTCTGTCAAAAAACAGACAAACAAAAGGCATATGACTTATTTGGGGAAAACAACTGTTGAGTGTGCCAGGTGGCAGCAGTCATTCCCAGCCCCGTCTCTTTCTCCTTCTTCACAGCTCTCCAAGCCGGGCCATGGGGTACGGACAGAAGCCCCACAATCCCGCAGAGCCCCCTCCCCTCTGCACTGTCTGCTTTGTAACTGTCGTGCAAAGGAAGGGACAGCTGTTGGGAGCAGGCCCCCAAGTGGCACCCACTCCACAAGACATACCAGGGCTGGCGGGAGGCAGGCAGCTGGTCTGGGGAGAGAGCAGTGGTGTCCTGGCACCCCAGCATTGATACCGCCCTCTTTCCTGGCTAAGTGATTCAACTGCACCCACCTCTCTCGGGTCCAAAAGGCAGGACATGCCAGAACGAGGGACAAAGGGTGAAGGTAGCTCACCTTGTGAGGAAGCCAGGCTGTAGGTCACCTATGTGGGGTACATTGGTACAGCCGTGCTGAAAAGGAAATCCGTGTGTCCAGTTTGCTTTTAACATGCCGCGTGCCTCAACAACTCCACTATTTGGCATCTTCCCTGAAGAAACAAGTTCAAGGATGTTTCCTTTAGAATTGTTCAGAAAAAGTTTAACAAAATAAACCTGGAAAGGGTCTTACTATCCTTTGGTAGAAAGAGGTTAAATAAAACATGGCAAGCTAAAAACAAAAAGGGTACTGCTGAAATGGAAAGAGATCAGTAAAGAAACCAATGAGGGAAACAGTCAAGTTGCAGAGCAAGTACAGAATGATACCATTTACATGGAGGAGAAAACAGACATCCCAAATGCATAGCCCTGTGCCTCAGAGTAGTAAGGCAGGAGGTCTGGCAGGTACCAACCAGGCTGAAAACTGGTTCCTGGGGTGAGCTCATCCAGAGGGACCTCAGCTTTATCTGCAACGTTTGAATGTTTCACAGGAAGAATGCGTTCATGAATTACTTACATAATTTTTTTAATCCTCTGCATTAAAATGCTCAAAAGGCCTGGGCTCCAATTCCTGGATCCTCCAAGGGCTATTCTATTCCTGGCTTAGGGCCAAGTTCTTTCCCCATAATAGCTCCCCCTTTCTCTGCACTGATAAGGTGTCCTTTATCCAGAAGAGAAGTGGCCTGTTTCTAAGTGGAAAGGGCCACATGATTTGAGTGGGGACGGACAGAACCTTCCCCCAACTCCAGGACAACAAATGGCACCGGAAATAGCATGTCCTTACATTTTGTGGGGGGCAGGGAGTCAATTGTCTGCACCTCGAGGAGGTAATACACCACCAGTGCTGCTCCCAGCATCTTGCAAGGAGATCTGGTGTACTTGGAGAGTAGGAGTAAGGGCTGGTGAATGTGACCTGATGGCTCAGATTCTGTGACAGGCAGTTGTCAGGGCTAGGGTGTGGCTCCTCCCACAGGCTTGGGAAGGAGTCTGGTGAGGGAAGGTGAATGATGCAACGTGTGTGGGAGCACAGCTCGTTTGAACCAGGTTGGGAGAAGGTGGCTTCTACAACATCCGGGCCAGAGGTAGAAGGGTCAGTCAGGTGTCCTTGGTGCAGACCTGCTCTCCACCCCCTCCTCATCTCCTGCACAGCCTGGCTGAACTGTCCAGGACATCTGGTCCTAGGGGAAAGGGTGAGGATGACCTAGGGAACTGGTGACACTGCCCCATTCCTAGCACATCTCACCCATATCCTGGATCCTAAATTGGCAGCTTCAGAGATGTTCTCCCTGGGAAGTCCACAAGCATGGCTTCTCTTATTTGCATAAGCATGGTGTTTGCTTACACAATCTCAAAGTTCAAGTCCATCTCTCAATGCAACACGTGGGCCAGGAGAGGAAGGGCTGGCAGGGCAAGGAGGGTGCCTGTGGCCTTAATGTCTCTGAGAATGAGTCACCTCTGGCAAATCGGACAGCTGCCACTGCAGAGGTTCAGGCGTGGCCTGTTTTGGGCAGGTGGGGCCCTCTGGGGACCAAGATGTGGGCTGTGACTGGTATCCAGCCACTCCCTCCCAGGCCCTGAGCTTCCCCCCAGCACTCTTCTCTCTCTCCAGCCCCTCACCTCCACCCCCTGTGTCCCAATCGCATCAACCCCCAGAGACAAAAAAGGTATGAAATCCCTCAACTGCCAGAGGTCAGGAAGTGTGGGCTGCGGACTCCCAGGCACTGCCTGAACATCCTGACAGCCACTCAACCTGGAGGGGCGCCCGGCCAGAAGAGGGGCCGCCCACGGAAAGAGGGACCACTTGGGGCTACTTGGGCTGGAAGGGGTGAATGTTGGGTCTACACGAGTCCCTGAAGCAAGGGACATGTGAAATCCAGGCACATACAGGAGCATCTACACACACAATGGTTTGGCTTTAATGAAACCTATCAAAACGCTTGAAAGAGATGTCAAGAATGGAGCTGAGCCTCAGGGCCCGCCAGCCTGGGGGTGAGACTCTTGTCCCAAGCAGGCAATGTCCTTCTGATGCCCATCTACTGTGGCCAGAGCAGCAATTCCAGTTTCTCACACAAAAGGCCCTTCCAGGGTCCTAACCCTTGTCAGATGCTGGTCTTCCAATATTGTAGCATACAAACCCCCTATAAGAATTTTTTGAAAAACTGACCTCACCCCTCTGCCAACATATATGTCTTAGGTTAGAATCTAAAATTTTTCATCATAATTTAAAATAGTTAATGGCAAATGTTACAATTCCTAGAATATTGTAAATTTGACTTTTTTCTTTTAATTATTTTTTATTATGAAATACACATTTTTTAGAATTAGTTTCAGCTATCCAACACAGTGCAATAGTTATACTTTTTACCCCTCGAAGTGACAACCCCCCTCCCCCAATCCGCTGCCCCACTTCCCCCCAATATCATACATATCTATTACAATTCCCTTGACTCCACTCCCACACTATACTCCACGTCCCATGACCATATATATATATTCACTTATAGTTAACATACAATATTATACAACATCAGCTTCAGGTGTACAGTGCAGTGATTGTAAATTTGACATTTTAAAATAAAGCTGTTACATTCCTTTTGTAAATACATCTAATGAAATCCCAATACCATAGTGACTTTCTTACTGTGATCCATGTAAAAATTACATGAATAAATTCCTCTTCAACATTCAGAAAATTTACAACATTCCTTTTTTTCCTTGAACTGATATTTCCATTCATTTCCCCCATGAGATAGTATACTAATATCATGTGTATTGTGCTTAAAAGCATTTCACTGATCATCCTATGATGCTTATTTGCAACAATAAAACTGTTTTCAATCAAAACTTAATTTATCTCTTTATGTAACAATAGGATGTTAAATTTTTAAAAAATTCTTCCAGGTTGAGTCATCATTACAATGTTGTTAATATACAATTGGTCAAAATAACATAAATATATACACTATATTACAAATGTTGATTTTTATCAGCAATATACCTTGATGAGACCGAACTTTTAAAAATTATTTCATATATTTATATGTTACTCATAATTAGAATAAGAGCTCAACATTGATCCTATTCTTAGCTTAGTTTCTTAAATGTAAGTGTTGGGAAACCTTGTACATAGAAACCATAAGTAGATGAGAATGAAAGAAATTTTGTTACAGCAATGTCATTCAACTCTTGGAAATCTTTCTGAGCTACTTACAAAAATCACGTCGTCATCTATCATCAAAAATTGTCCAATGATTTATTAACAACAACGTATTTAAGTCCTTTTTCAGTTTGTTGAAAGTAAGGAAATGGAAACTGCCAGAGGTTCCAGAGTCCTTGAGTTCCCACTGCACAGTGAGGCAGTCCCTCTGGTGCCCCAGGGGGTCTGACACCCCAGAGCAATGGAACACCCTACAATTAGGAGTGAGCGGGGAGCCTACAGTTCCCACCTTTTCTGGAGAGTAGAAGAGCAAAGGCACATGGCAGGCGAAGATCACTCCAGCCTCCTTCCCATCCCCTGGGGCTGCCTGCCCTGGTGCTATGTTCACTGGCCTGGATAAATGCCAAGACCAACCCAGCTGATGTCAGGGTGTGAGTTGACAGCAGTGACAGCACTAAATCCCTCTCTGCTGCACAAATAGAGGGAGAAGGTTGGAGCAGGAGGCCTGGGCTTACTCTTACCTCCGGCCTCGTTTTTTTCTCTGTAATAATTCGAGGTGGGGCGAGGTCAGGTGATCAGCTCTAGCATAGGAAAATGACTATTAAGGTAAGAGGACAGAGTAGCTGGCTGGGTGCAATGAGAGGTACTATTTTAGGTGAGGTGTTCAGGGAAGACCCCCTGAGAACGTGGCTTGAGCAGAGACCTGAATGTAGAGAAAGTGCCAATCTTGCAAAGATCTGGGGGAACAGCATGCCAATAGGAAGGAACCTCAAGACATAAAGGCCCCAGATTGGAAGTGGGCTTGGCACGAATGAGGTACAGCAAGAAGGCCCATTTGGCTAAAGCAGAGTGGGTACATGAGGGGGAGCTGGAGACAGGGACAGAGAGGCAGGCAAGGGCCAGGGCTCTGAACAAGGAGTTCAGACACAGTGTGTCATGCAAACCCATTGGAGGTTCTTAAACACGGAAGGATGATCTCATATGTTTTATCGCTCTTGATGTGTGAAGAATGGACCCTGGGGACAGGAAGAGAGGTGTCAAGAGTGGAAACAGAGAGACAAGTTGGGAGGCTGTGACAACAGGCTACCCAGGAGATCTTGGATGAGGATAATAGGAGGTAATGGGGTATATCTGGGCACAGAGACAACAGAACTGGCCACTGGAGTATGTGGGAGATGAGAGAGTGGTAAGTGGAGACATGGAGGCATTTAACAGAAATGGGGAAGCCTGGGGAAGAAGCAGGTATCGTGTTGGCATGGGGGTATGCACCAAAAGTTGTGTTCTGGCTGAGTTATATTTGCGATACTTACTCAACATCCACAAGAATATAAAATCCAGGGCCGGCCAAGTGGCGTGATGGTTAAGAACTGGCTTGGGACGCCAGAGGGCCCCGGTTCGGATCCCACATATGAGGGCCAGTGACACTGCCCTCCACAGCTAAGATGCTGAACAACAGCTCAACCTGGAGCTGGGCATCCGTGAGTCGCCGGCGACGGTGTAGGCTGCAGCCCCTGTGGCAGTGGGTTGCCATGGGCTACCGTGTGTAGCCAGCAGCCAGCGTGAGCAGCCAGCAGCCAGCGTGAGTGGCCGTCCAGAAGCCAGCGACTGATCTGCCTCGCCTGGGAATGATGGTGCCAACTTGGGCCAGTGAAGCAATGTCCTCCACAACTAGACTGAAGAACAAAAAGAGAGCAACTTGTCTGTTCCCCTTCCCCCAATTCCCCAGCGCTGTTCCCGTCCCCCAATTCCCCAATAAAAATCTTTAAAAAAAAAAAAAGAATATAAAATCCAAATTTCACTCGAGATCCAATAGGAGTAACTGGCATGTAGGTCACATGCCATGGGTCACACAAGACCACCCAACGTAAGTATGTGGTAGAAAAGAGCATGGCCCAAGACTGAGCCCTGGGCACAGAGAGGCTGAAAGGAAGAAACAGAACCATCAGAGGAGGTCAAAGAGGAGTAACCAGGAGGTAAGAGAAAGGCCGAGAGTGGGAAGGACAACCAGAGAGAGCGGGAGGAGGAGCATGGTCCAGCAGGCCTAGGGATGCCGAGAGGTCGAGCACCTGAGCACCTAGGCACTGGGTTTCCTGAGAAAGGCTGTGTACCACCGGAACAAAATGGAGAACAGAACCCAAGGACAAATTCACATGGTAAATGCTCCCTTATTCATGGTAGACACTCAGTAGCCATCTGTTATCAGATCGACTGGACTGTTGCAAAACTGCAGTGCATGTGTTCTAGTGACCCTTATTTTACTTAACAATGGCCTCCAAGTACAAGTGAGTACAGCAAGACTCTTGAGCTGTTCTGCCATGAAATCAAAGGGT